CCAGAGGAAGAAAAGGCTCTAAGGGAAGCTTAGGCAATGAGGAGCCACTGAAGACTTCTGTAACGTGAAAATCTCCTCTTATGGTACAGAACTGGAAGAAGAAACCAATTAGAAAACAAATGCAGGGCCGAGCCCGTGGCACACTCGGGAGAGTGCGGCGCTGGGAGTGCAGTAGCGCTCCCGCCGCGGGTTCGGATCCTATATAGGGATGACCGGTGCGCTCACAGCGCTCACTGGCTGAGTGCGGCCGGTCTCAAAAAGGACAAAAAAAAAAGAAAACAAATGCAGTGGTCCACTGGAGGCGTGTGAGGGTGAGGCAACAGAAATGGGAGGGGGTGACAGAGCAGACATTGCAGAGGGAGATGCTATGAAATTTAGCAATTGTTTGAGGTGGCAGGAGATGACAAACCCAATGATGACTGTAGGGTCTCAAGTCTAATGGACTTGGAAAGTAGTGACACCATTAAAATAATTTGGGAACATTAAAACAGGATTTGGGAAGGGGCGATGACGGGCCTAGTGGGGAGATGGGCAGGGCAGAGAGGGTATGGGGCCAAGCCAGTGATCTTGACTATTACAGTTTGGGAAATGGGAAATCTAACTGGGAATACCCAGCAGGTAGTGGAAATGTGAGACTGGATTTCAGAAAAGAGACCAGGATGGACTGCAGAGAATCACGCAGAGAGATGAAAGTTGAACACAAGGGAGAGAAAATGAGACCTTCAAGAAATAAACAAAAAGGGTTGAAGACACAATCTTGGAGAATGCCCACCTTAAGGAAGCAAAGCAGTAGGGTAGGAACAGTCAGATAGAAGGAGAGCCTGGATCGTACAGGATTGCAGAAGCCAAGAGAAGAAAATTAAGGGAAGGAGGAGGTTGACAGTGTCAGCTTCCGACAGACCAAGAATGGGGAAGACTGAAAAATTTGTAATTAAAAGGCTGTTAGTAAAGCCTAAGGAAATGATATAATGAGTGCACAAAGATATACAGAGATATTCATCACAGAGGTATTTATAATAATGAAAAACTGAAATATCCTAAAAATTCAAAAATAGAAAATTAGTTAACTGATTAAAACAAATTTAAATTAAATTAAAATCTATATACCCATTAAAAATGAGGACCTAGATCTATATTTATTTACAGAGAGACATGGCTACGATACATTCCTAAGCAAAAAAATCAAATTTCAGATTACCTTATAAAAGAATGACCTAGGGCTAGCTGGTTAGCTCAGTTGGTTAGAGCATGGTGCTGACAACACCAAGGTCTAGGGTTTGGTCCCTTTACCAGCCAGCCACCAAAATAAAAAACAAAAAAGAAAGAAAAGAATAACCTAATTTTTATAAAAATATGTATTTAGCTAGATGTTTGTTTGTTTGTTTTGTTTTGTTTTTTAGTGGCTAGCTGGTAAGGGAATCTGAACCCTTATCCTTGGTGTTATAACACTATACTCTAACCAACTGAGCTAACTGGCCAGTCCATAGCTAGATTTTTTTTAAAAGATGTCGGCCGGAGAGTGCACCACTTGGGAGCGCGGAGGCGCTCCCGCCGAGGGTTCGGATCCCATGTGGAGACCAGTTCCCGCTCACTGGCTGAGCGCCGTACGGGCGCAACACCGAGGGTTACGATCCCATTACCAGTCAGTAGAAAAGACAAAAAAATGGGGAAAAAAAAAAAAAAGACAGATAAGGCTGGCCAGTTAGCTCACTTGGTTAGAGCTAGAGCATGGTGCTGATAAAAGACAGATAAGATGGCAAAGAATTAACAGGCTGGAAGAAGATATAACAAAAGCTAAGAATTAACAGGCTGGAAGAAGATATAACAAAAAACTATTCCCAGTTATTGTCAGATGGCAGGTTTAGTTATTTTTATTTGGTGCAGAAAAATTATAAGCCAAGCATTGTTCTAAGTATATCAAAGAATAATTTCATTTAGTAAGTGATTAATTTATTTTCTTTTTTGCTTGTCTGTATTCCTTAATTTTTCCATAACCAATATGTGTCACTTGATAAAAATTAATGTCGTAAAAAGGGCCATTTGTGACCCTTGAGAGAACATTTCAGACTGAAGATGGGGAGGGAAGCCAGACAGCAAGGGATTCGAGAATGCATGGCTAACAAGGAATGGGTCGAGACAGCTCTCTTAAGAAACCTGGCCATAAGAGGACAGAGAATAGTCGCTCTGTCCATGGCTGCAGATGACAATCTCGACCCAGCTGGTCAGCACAGTCATTACTAGGGGACATGCTTAGCTCTGAACAAACCTGTAGCTACAGTGGCAAAAAAGATTCCAAACACCTCACTTATGGCAGAGTTTTAGATATATGAAAGAGTGAGAGAACATTTTCACGAAGGGCGATGGTTTGTTGTGAGCTTTAGTGACAACTTTTTCCATGAGAAGAAACACAGCTTGATGGAAGCATGTAATTGCAGACTTAGCATTAAGTTTCTTGGGTGATAAGATGATCAGTTACTTGTTAAAGAATACAAATTCTTCCTCTCTAAATCGCTCTATAATCACAGATTCTGATTTGCTACCCAGAAATAGAGAAAGTGCTTCCTCTGGAAGGCTAAGCAGCCTGACATTTAAAATACGCAGTTTAGAATAGCTCTATGGTTCTCAAACAGTGGCGAACATCAGACATTAGAATCACCTGCACAGCTTCCTGAGGGTTTTTATTCTTGCTTATAGCCTTACTGATGTATATTTCAATACCATAAAATTCACCCATGTAAAGTGTACAGTTCAGTGTGTCTTAGCATATTCAGAGTTGTTCAGCCATCATCACAATCCAGTTTTATAATTATTCCAACACTCCAAAAAGAAACCCCTTACCTATTAGCAGTTATTCCCCTTTTTCTTTCCGTCAGTGTGTCTTAGCATATTCAGAGTTGTTCAGCCATCATCACAATCCAGTTTTATAATTATCCCAACACTCCAAAAAGAAACCCCTTACCTATTAGCAGTTATTCCCCTTTTTCTTTCCGCACATCCCCAACCCCAGGGGACTGGTTTTTGAGCTTTTTAAATCTGCAGGTGCCAGGCCCTCATCCTAAGCCTCCAAAATCAAAATCTTTGCATAGGCAGATCTCACATCTGTACTTGCAAATACACTTCCTCTGATTCTCACGAGTCTCCCATCAAGAACCATAGTAGCTGGCACTTAGTAAGAACTCAAGAAACACTCGTTAGGTGAGTGAGCAAACAAGAGAGTAGGCAGATTCAAGGTTGATAAGAACCATTCTGGCTCTTACAAGTAATACAAAAAGTGATGAAGTAGAAAGTTGAGGTTTTAAAATAAGGTTATTAGAAGGTAGTGACTGAATCCTTAGTTATATATTCCATTATCTTTTTTTCTACTCAAAGAGATTCAGTTATTCTCCTCAGACCAAATTCAGCCTATTTCTAAAAAGGAGTCTCTTACATCCCCAGTCCTTGAAAGCTACTAGCCAACTAGACAAGACCTGACAGCATCCTTAGGCTACCAGACAGCAAGTTCAAACACCTCTTCAACTGCCTTTGACCCTGCCTGCTATTTCCAACAATCAAAGCGAACTTCAGAGACAAAGCAATTAGAAACAAATGTATATCTCTTCTCAAAACAAAGAGGAGAGAAAGCTGATTTACATTACACAGAGCAACTATCACACAAATGGAGATAGATATAAGACTTCAATTAAGACACTCATTGTCCATAACAATGACACAATCATCAATTCAAATGCATTTTTTAAAGTGGCCAAAAAGAAGTGTTTTCAAAGAATATTAAAATAAGGGCAGTGATTAGATGTATCATAGTTGGGGCTAAAAGAAGACAGTTGTGTACACACACATGCTAAACTAGAATGTTTCCAGATATATCACCCTGAAAACTGAGTCCACAACTTCCCAAAGAAAAACACTTTTGCAAATAGCAAAGCCTTTACCTGACAGACTCTAAATGAGACACCAAGCCTCAGAGAAAGTATAAACAGTAGTCCACTGAAGTTAATATTTCCTTGTATACAAAAATTCATTTTCCCTGTCACCTTCCTCTTTTTCCTTCCGTGTATGAATGCAATAACCTTTTTAGGACTTCTCTTTTCTCCTTATTCTTGCCATATGGGAAAATCTATACTCCTTTCTACAGAATTAAGTCTAGGCAGTTTGGTTAGGCTCTGAGATGCTCCTGCTAAGATAGCTTTTGATCAACAGGAGGTGCTGCATCCACTAAGCAGCTGCTCATTTCTTTTCAAAACTGAGATTATTAACTTTTTTTTTTTTTAAGATGACCGGTAAGGGGATCTTAACCCTTGACTTGGTGTTGTTAGCACCTTGCTGTCCCAAGTGAGCGAACCAGCCATCACTGTGTAGGGATCCGAACCCATGGCCTTGGTGTTATCAGCACCACACTCTCCCAAGTGAGCCACAGGCTGACCCTCAGATTATTAACATTTTTTTTTTCTCTTGTCTTTTTCCGTGTCCGGCAACGGATCGCAACCCTCAGTGTTGCCCCCGTACCGGACCGGGGACTGGCAACGGGATTGCAACCCTCGGCGTTGCCCCCGCGCCTCGCTCAGCCAGTGAGCGGAGGAAAACATAAGTTTTCTTGATACTTAAAAGGAGATTAATTATAGGTATCTCTTTTCTTTGTTTTTTTTTTTTTCTCTTGTCTTTTTCCGTGTCCGGCAACGGATCGCAACCCTCAGTGTTGCCCCCGTACCGGACCGGGGACTGGCAACGGGATTGCAACCCTCGGCGTTGCCCCCGCGCCTCGCTCAGCCAGTGAGCGGGAACCGGTCTGTATGTGGGATCCGAACCCTCGGGCGGGAGCGCCGCCGCGCTTCCCAAACGGCGCACTTACCCAGTGCGCCACCGGGCCGGCCCCAGATTATTAACATTTTGAACTGAAACATCAAACCTGCTTCCATTCCAACCGTCAGGAACTAACTTCATGAAAAATAAAACTCCTCTTCCATATTGAAGGGCAGCAAAGGAAAGGAGCTGGTGTGTTCCCATCACGGGGACAGCCTAAGGGTAGGTGGGGACAATGGCACCCACCTCTTTAGCTCTGCGATGAGCAACGCAGTGCAAGGAACCCCCAGGGTCATCAGAGAGATGTTGTTGATGGCAGGCTTGACAAACGCCAGGCATGTTGTAACTGCAGATAGGACGCAGACCACCGCCTTGAACCTGCCCCTGAATCCATGAGAGCAAAACCAAATATCCATTAGCAAAGGATATCTTTGTTTGTTCATTTACTGTTGACAAAGTACAGGTACTGCTAGTAGTGCAAGCTGAAAAGAAATTCTGCACTAAGTACCAAAAGTCTAAAAACCATTCACACTCACTGGCTTCGTAATTCCACTTCTAGGAATTTATCCTCAGGAAGTAATCAGAGATTTTCAAAATAGCCATTGAATGGTAAAATTAGAATCAACCTACGTTTCTGAGGGTGAGATACGGATAATCGTTATCTTAGTGTTATTTTTCTGTATTTTCTCAGATGTTCTACAGCAGGGTTTGACAAGCTTTTTCTTTTCTTTTTTTTTATTTTTTGGCAGATGGCCAGTAGGGAGATCCAAACTCTTGACCTTGGTGTTGTAACACTGTGCTCTAACCAACTGAGCAAACTGGCCAACCCTTTTTCTTTTTTTCTTTATGTCTAATGACAAGCTTTTTCTGTAAAGGGTCAGATAATAAATATTTTAGGTTTGGAGGGGGCTGGGGTCTCTGTCACAGCTACTCAACTCTGCCATTATAGACAATAAGTGAATGAATGGGCATGGCTGTGTGCCAGTAAAACGTGACTTGCAAAAACAGGACCCATTTGGCCCATAGGACATAGTTTGCCAACCCTATTCTACAAGGTGAACATGTATGACTTTTATGAGAAAAACAGAGACCATTAAACCATAAAGCTTCCTAGTTTAAAAGAAAAAATATTCTATGTGCACAACACACAAAACTAAGTTTTAAGAAAAAATTCTAATCATATCTATATTTACTGATAACCCCCAAGGCCAGGATGCACTAGAATTTGTGTCGACAGCTTCTGTTGTTTTTGTTGTTGTTTTTGGTGGCTGACCAGTACAGGGATCAAACCCTGGACCTTGGTGTTATCGGCACCATGTTCTAACCAACAGAGCTAACCAGCCAGCCTGTGCTGGCAAGTTTTCGACGTGACAAATCTTAGAAAAATAAGTTATCCTATCCTCACACCCTTCAGTGGAGGTCATCTCAGTAGAAAGCACCAGAAGTGGCAATGTGATCCTGGACATGTTCCTTCTTCTCTCCCTGGGACCCCACTTCCTTATCTATGAAATGAAATAGCTAGACTAGATGATCTCCAAGGCCTCGTCCATGACAAACTTAGGAGCACAAAAAGTTTCTGTTATTTCTCATTAGCACAATATACTATGGCCAAGAGCCCTGGAACAGGTCACAGGAAACTAATTTGAATGACATTCCATTATAAAGAAATCAAAGGGCACTGAACCTTCATAACACAAATTTATCTTAAATAGGAAAACCGTTTATCATTAAGGCACAGGAAATCATTGATCAAGCTGCCAACTCTCTGACTGGAATGAACAGGAACTGTAGCCCTGAACTTCTATCAGAGGAAAAAATATCTATGGGAAAGGTTCTGGGTAACAAATCCTCAGGATAATCATGTTTTTCTCTTGGCCTTGGCTGGTGGTCTTCAGCTACCAGATGAAAGGTTGGCTGCTGCAGGCTGAGGATGAGAGCCCACAGCCATCGTGTGCATTGCCCACAATGACTCCTTCCCTGGGGTTGAGGTTCTGTGACATATGCCAAGGCTATTTGTCCTTTTTCAATAGGATAAACACCTAAACAGAAACTTCCAAAGAGCATCACCTCTCTGTACCCTGTGGTTTAGGATTCAGGCACAGGTGAGAGAGGGCAACGGAGTGATTAAAAGCACAGGTGTTTCAGTCACACCAATGTATGTTCAAATCCTGTCCCCACCACTCAGAAGCTTAAACATCTGACAAGTAACTTAACTCTTCAAGCCTTTCCCATGTAAAAATCAAGGCACCCCACTTCATGGTGTTCTTGTAAGCATTAAAGCATCTAACACCCTGTCTGGTACGTGCTAATAAAAATCCATTATTACGGGCCGGCCCGTGGCTCACTCAGGAGAGTGTGGTGCTGATAACACCAAGGCCATGGGTTCGGATCCTATATAGAGATGGACAGTTCGCTCACTGGTTGGGTGTGGTGCTGACAACATCAAGCCAAGGGTTAAGATCCCCTTACCAGGCATCTTTTAAAAAAAATTTTTTTTAATTTTTAATTTAAAAAATTAAAAATAAATCCGTTTTTACCATTATCCTTTTTGAGAACAAATACTGTTTTAAATGAAATTATTATTGTTGATAATATGGCATTCTCAGAATGTGACTGAGTTGATGTTGCAATCACCAAAGACTCCATATAGTGTTGCCAAATAGTTTAAAGGCAGCAAGCTTGACAAAACATGCTTTCTTTAAGGAGACCATCCACAGACACCTCCCCACATTGGGTCCAGAGGGTATGGAGGAATGTGCTGGCCAACATGGACATCCTGTGAACACATGACTCTGCAACCAGCAGAAGTAAACAGAGGTCACGTGGCCAGCAGACCCCAGAATCACCAAAGGCCCTTGTACAAGAGAGTAGAACATCCAGGAGCAAGGGGCCCTGACAGGGTGGTTTCTAAATTGTCATGACAGGCAACCCCTACTGCAGTCTCTGGTCCTGTTTCAACTTTCCAGCCGATCATGGTCTCACGCCAGAACACAAGGTCAGGGAACCCTTAGCACCCCTTCTTCTGGTATTCTCCAAACCAAAATCTAGCAACCCAATAACATTGTCATAATATTATTATAATAAAGCTGTTACCGTTGTTATTATTAGCTACCCTGTAAAGTGGTGGTTTTTAAGCCTACCAGGCCCTGTGCCCCTTTTATATCAAATATTTGGCAATGCCTCTTTTAGTCTTCTGAAATGAAATGGAATTTTGGATCATAAAACCTCCCATCATTGCAACCATCAAAAATATGTCCACAAACTTCCCAGATGTCCCTTAAGAGATAGAAAACTGCTTTATTTTATTTTATTTTATTTTTTTCCTTTTTTTGTCTTTTTCTGTGTCCGGCAACGGATCGCAGCCCTCAGTGTCGCCCTTTTTTTTTTTTTTTTTTTTTTTTTTTTTGCAGCTGGCTGGTCCAGGGATCAAACCCTGGATCTTGGTGTTCTCAGCACCGTGCTCCAACCAACTGAGCTAACCCGCCAGCCCTATAACAGCCAGCTCTTGGTATTCATAGCACTACAGCATTTGGTCCTGGAAGGGACCCCAGAGAGCTAATCCGACCCTGTCACTTTATAAGGCACTAAGACCAAGAGAGTTTAAGATTCTGGCCCAAGTCATCCAGCAAATGTGTTAGCAGGAGGGGAGATCCCAGCGGGCTCCCTCGCTATCTAGGATTCAAAAATGGAGTGGATTATAAAGTGAGGGCTATCCCTAGATTTTCTAGAGGCAAAATCATAAAAAGCACAGCAGGATAAATTCTTTAAGAAGTAGATACAATTAACCAATAATAGTTCTTTGCTCTTTTTTCTCAAAAAAAAATATCTAGAAATTATTAATAACCATCAACAGCTGAGTGTATATCCTGAAGATTCTTGGGACATTGTAGGCTAGTAGAAAGCAAGCCTTTCTTTTATAACCCACCAATTATGTCCTACTGACATAATGAGCATTAATAATTTCCCTACTGTTCTAGACATCTTTATCTTCAAAACACTTGTTCATGTTAGCCAATCATGATAACTGCTAGCACTTACTGAGTCCATATACGGTATGAGGTACCATGCTATACACTTTATGCAATTTTCCTTTTTGTTTTGTTTTGTTTTGTCAGCTGGTCAATACAGGGATCCAAACCCTTGACCTTGATGTTACAAGGTCACACTCTAACCAACTGAGCTATCCGGCCAGCCCCTTCCCTTTTATTTTTGACCCCATGACGTAGATATTTTTATGATCTCCACTTTACAGATGAGCAAAATAAGGTTTTAGAGCTTTTTTAAAAAAAATGATAAAATTGGGTTGCTTTTCAAAGCCATGGCTGTCTGATCCAAACTCACTTAGCCATCACACTCTGCTCTCTTCTCCAAAAATCTCACACTGGAACTACTCTTAATACGTGTTTAGAAATATTCCAGCACAGTCGAGATCACCAAAAAAAAGGAAATAAATGTTACCTGATAAGTTCAGGCAGCTAAACCAGATAATCCCTGGTCTACAGAAATCCTGGTTTGGGCATGAATTCTTTGGTCTGGCCTGCCACTTCCACTGCTGAACTGCCACCTGTCCCACATCAAAGAGAGTGAAGCCCACACCAAGGGGTTTGGCCATCTTGTGCCACCATCCTCCACCCCTCCCACTCCCCCCCCCAACAGGAAAATCGAAGAGGCACAAATACAGCAGAAATCCTTATTCACTTGCCCCTTAACATGCACCTCTTCTTTCTTTGCTCATTAAAATTTTCAATGCCCATTCTCTCTTTTAATTTGTAAGCATATGTCAGACATGGTAGGCAGAGTGTCCTCTACATGCCACTGGTAGTAATGAGAGCTAACTCTGACTGAGCACTCACCGTGTGGCTCAGGGCTGTGCTCAGTGCTCTGCAGGATCACCTCAAAGAACCCTAGGGTGAGTACTACTATTTAAACAATCTTACAGATGAGGAAATAGAGTCAAGACCAGTTATACAGTTTGCAAGCAGTGAAGCTAGGATTCAAACCCAGATAGTCTCCAAAGCCAGGAATATAAACACGTATGGTACTCGGTGCCTCCAAAAGACTATCCCCACGCTGAGAACAGAGCAGCCATATCTTCTTGTCTTCCCCAGCGAAATGCTGCATGGTGCTGGTGATGAAGGAGTCGCAAGGTCAGACATCGCTTCCTCACAGTCTGTTTTCGTTATGTCATCGCCCTACTTTCTTCTCTCCTGCTCATAACAACATTCCCCCTTCCCTCACTCCTACCTCCAAGGAACAGGAAAAGACAAAGGAAAACATTCTCTATAATAAACACATTAAGGGGCCGGCCCAGTGGCTCACTCGGGAGAGTGTGGTGCTGATAACACCAAGGCCCTGGGTTCGGATCCCATATAGGGATGGCCGGTTCGCTCACTGGCTGGGCGTGGTGCTGACAACGCCAAGTCAAGGGTTAAGATCCACTTACCGGTCATCTTTAAAAAAAATAAAAATAAAAAAATAAACACATTAAAAACTGTCACATGGGGCTGTTAGCTCAGTTGGTGAGAGCGTGGTGCTTGTAGTGGGTTAGAAATCTTGACTCTCCTTTGATCTTAGAATAGGATTTTTAGATAATGCATGAATGAGCCAAAAGGCTCTTGAGTAGTGGACGAAAGTCCACAGATACGTTTGGCAAAAGCCATCTAATCAATTCTAATCACTGTTTAGGGATGGGATTGTGTACTTTGACTGTCTTAGTTTAGTTTGCTGGTTTGATTCCGGCTTGAATGACTATTGACTATTTAACCTACTGATTGTTCTTTAGATATGTTAAGGAGACTGCTTGAATGCTGTTTAAATATGCTAAAGAAATCACTGTAGGAAGTATGTGGAAAAGAAAATGTTTACTAAGGACAAGCTGATTGTTGGTGAATTAACCTAGCTTTTTACAAATTACATTCTGGAATGTCACATTGTTAATTTACTGCTGTTACAAGTTTTATACTGCCTGTTTTTATGTCCTTTTTTGATGATTGAATCAATTGATTTTTCTTTCTTTTTTTTTCCTTTTTGTCTTTTTTACTGACCGGTAATGGGATCGCAACCCTCAGTGTCACGCCCGTACCGGGGACCAGCAACAGGATCACACTTGGGAGAGTGTGGTGCTGATAACACCAAGGCCACAGGTTCAGATCCCTATATAGGGATGGCTGGTTAGCTCACTGGGTGAGCGTGGTTGCAGACAACACCAAGTCAGGGGTTAGGATCCCCTTACCGGTCATCTTTAAAAAAAAAAAAAAAAAAAAAA